AGGCATATCCAAGGCTAATCTACACAATGCTAGAGCCAGAATTTGATTTTGCCTACTGGCCCACATAAACCCAACATTCTCATACTGTTCCTAAAGCCCTTTCCCATCACTGACTTTCCTCCCAAACCAGGGTGTGCTCACCTGATCCTTTGGTTACACTAGGCCAGCCGGCATGAGTCACCTATACCTCAGAACCCCACAGGTCTTTGGGGGTTCTGTCACCGTGCTGAGCCTAGAATGCGGGGAGAGCCACCACCTCCAGGAGTCAGGGGCTGGTGGAGACGTCGATCAGGTAGGTTTGTTCCACGCCCACAGGATCACCCTGAGACCTCACACACACACACACAGGATCCCTCTGGAAAGCCCCAATCCCTGAGCGCACATCTCCACAAGGGATACTTCGTGCACAAGATGGAGAAAAGAATCACTCTGACCAAAGGTCTTAGGGGGACGCTCAATTGTCCATAAAAGAACAAATACAAAAAGGGTTATAGAATGGGACCTCTTGTTTTGCAGCAAGAATGTGCGTTGATGCGCTAGACTGCAAAGTCACGTTGAACTGAGGGTCAGCAGTTCCAGCTCACCAGCTGCTCCTTGGAAAGTCTACACAGGGTCGCTGTGGGCCAGAATTGCCTCGATGGCACTTAACACTGACTGACGAGACCATCAAAGAGTCTTAAAATAACTGCTTGTGTCATAAACCAATTCCTCTTTGTGTGTTCTGCGAGCTAGAAGGATTTCTGCTTTAATCATCCTGGATGGTATTTTGGGTTTTTTTAATGAACACACACAGCACAGACAAGAGACGTCAAGGTTTACAAGTACATTTACTGACACAATCAAGATGGAAACTAAAATCCTTCGAATAATGAGGAAATTCCTTTTCAACTAGATTCCATTTACAATAGGAACAGCAATGACAAAAAGTGGAGCTAACAAAGCTAATAAAATACAGCCAATAGCTCCTAAGGAGAAAGTTTTAAAACTTCATTGATGGACATTAAAACAGGCCTAGTAGCGTAGTGGTTACGAATCGGGCTGCGAACCTTAAGTTCAGCAGTTCGAAACTACCAGCCGCTCCGCGGGAGAAAGACGAAGCTTTCTACTCTCGTAAAGATTTACACCCTTGGGAACCCTGTACAGGGTCGCTATGGGTCGGAACCGACTCGATGGCACTTCACAACAACAATGAAGGAAAAGAAGGCTGCATTTCAAAGAATGCCACATCTCCACAGGGACCTATACTAAAATGCATACCCCACCCTAAAGCAAACTCTGAGACTGAAGCAAAAGGGCCAGGCTCTAGGACCACCCATCGATGCGGCAAAGGTGCAGGGGTGAGAATCTCTCCTGCCACACATGTGATAAGAGTTAGGGAAGAGGGAAACCATCTACAGCACATGGTGATCTGGACACTGGGACCAAGTCAGGCGACTCCAACACCCCTATGAAGTGGCCCAAGGAGGGCTGCAGATATGCTGAGACAAAGGGCGCCAACCAATGGGGTGGGGGTGAAAAGACTCGATCCTGCCCTCACACCATACACAACCACCAGCTAAAGAGGTGTGAAACACCCAGGTGTGAAGGGGAAACATTCACACTTGTAGAGGAGATGCTTTACGATGTACACATTTTCTGGTTCTTGTGACCTGCCACCAAGTCAGTCTAGGCCCATGTTGACCCCATGCACAATGGAACAAAAGCCGCCTTGGTCTTGCGCCATCCCCTGGTTGGTGCTGTGGCAGGACCACTGTAATGAACAGTGTTTCATGGTCTGGTTTGGGGAAGCAGATCACCAGGCCTTTCTTCCTACTGCCCTAGTCTGGGAGGAGCACTGAAAGCTGTTCAGCATCAGAGCAACAAGAGAGAGAGGTAAAGACTACGCATGGGGTGCACTGGCTTGAACTGAACCCAAGTCTCCCAGATGAATGGTGAGAACTCTACCACTGAATTACCAACGCCTTCAGGTAACACTCCTGTCACGGCTAGGTGCTGCTGGATCACAGTGAGAACTACGGACAACCCAGCCCTCACAATCATTTTCAGATCTGAGCCCACAGCTGTAGCCACTGCATCAATCCACCTCATTGGAGGGTCTTCCTCTTTTCCACTGACCCTCCACTTTCCCAAGCACGATGTCCTTCTCCAGGGACTGGTTCCTCCTGGTAACATGCCCGACGTTGGAGACTTTGTAGACGACGTCTCAGCATCCCCACTGCTCGGGAGCCTCTGGCTGTACTGCTTCTAATACACATTGGCTCATTCTTTTGGCAGTCCGTGGTATTACTGTTGTTAAGGGCTCTTGAGTCGGTTCCAACTCACAGCAACCCTGTATAAGGGTTTCCAAGTTGCAGCTGGTAGGTTTGAACTGCAGACGTTGAGGTCCAGTGCTTATCTTACAGCGCTATACCAGGACTGAAAGTGCACGGTATGGTCAACATTATTCCCCCAACTCATAGTTCCAATGCATCAATTCTTCTTCAGTCTTCCTTACTCACTGTCCAGCTTTCATAAAAGTATGACGCAGGTGAAAACATCATGGCTTGGATCAGACACCCCTTAGTACTAAAGTGACATTATTGCTTTTCAAACACTTTCAAACAAGTCTTTTTACTGATTTGCCCAATACAATAAATACATCATTGGCTGCTGTTTCCATGGTCTTTGACAATGGATCCAAGTAGATGAAATCCTGGACAACATCCATCTTTTCTCCATTTATTATGAGGCTGCTTACTGGACCCACTGTGAGGATTTTTGTTTGCTTTATGTTCAGGTGTAATCCATCCTGAAGGCTGAAGTCATTGATCTTCATCAGCACTTCCAGTCCTCTTCAGTGCCAGCAAGTGAGGTGAGTCACCTGCAGAGTGAAGGCTGTTCATGAGTCTTCCTCCAACCCTGACGCCATGCTGTTCTTCACCTAATCCACCTTCTCAGATTATTAGCTCAGCACGCAGAGTGAATAAGCATGGTGAAAGGCTACACCGTTGGAATCACTCAGTATTCCCTTGTTTTGTTCAAACAACTCACCTCTTGGTCTGGGTACAGATTCTTCAGGCAAACAGTTCAGTGCTCTGGCATTCCCTCTCTTCTCCATGTTGCTCACGACGTGTCAAGATCCACCACATTCGAATGCCTTCGCATAGTCATGTGACAGCTAAGGTTTTGGGTCAACTTGGCTGGGTCAAGCGTCTCAGTGGTTAGCAGCTGAGATGCAGGGCCCACCCCCATGAGAGCCCTAACGTGACATGCTGTAACCATATCCACGCTGTGAGCACACGAGGTCAGCCCACAGCTGATGTAGCAACCCTGTGGGTTACAAATCCTCCTTCCGTGATGCTGAGGAGGCCTACGCCAGCAGCAGGATTAGGTTGAGTCCTGAGTTCATCTCTCATGAGATATAAAGGGAATTGAACAAGCAAGCAGAGCTCAGAGGGACCTACTGCCACTAAGAAAGACAAGCCAGAAGTGGACGTTGGGTCCCTGCATCCAGGGAAAGAATGAGGCCAAGACACATGGGGACCTCCAAGGAATGCTGAGCCTACAGATGCTGAAGGGAGTCAAAAGCTTTCTCCAGAGCCAGAGCTCTGAATTCAAAACTGGGAGAGAATGCATTTCTCTTTCTTAAAGCCAACAACTTGTGGTATTTCTGTCACAGCCCACTGAACCGTAGGATAATTTCTGAGTATTGTGTAGCTTGCACTAAAGCTATGAAGACAAGCAAGCATATGGCAAGCATGAAATTCAAATGGTGGCCATTTCCTCGCAGACAGGGTCGTGAGATAAGAACAGAGAGGATTGACAGTTGCACAGCATGAGGAATTAAACAGATGTCACTAAATTGTACACTGAAAACGGCAATGCTTGCTTATGTTATGGTGTGGCACTGTGGGCTAATGCATCAGACTGCAAAGTCATTTGAACTGCAAGGTCAGTGGTTCAAGCTCACGAGCTACTCCTTGGAAACCCTATACAGGGTCACTATGTGTTGGAAAACAAGAAATCAGACAACGTATTGCATTAGGCAAATCTGCTGCACAAGACTTTTTTAAAGTGTTGAAGAGCAAAGATGTCAGCTTGAAGACTAAGGTGCACCTGACTTAAGCCATGGTATTTTCAGTAACCTCATATGCATGCGAAAGCTGGACAGTGAATAAGGAAGAACGTAGAAGAATTGAAGCTTTTGAGTTATGGTGTTGGAGGAGAATACTGAAAGTGTCATGGGCTGCCAAAGAACCAATAGATCCATTCTAGAAGAAGTGCAGCCAGAGTGTTTCTTGGAGGCCAAGATGGCCAAACTTCGTCTCTCATACTTCGGACATATTGTCAGGAGGGACCAGTCACTGGAGAAGGATATCATGTTTGGTAAGGTCGAGAGTCAGAAAAAAAGAGGAAGACCCCCAACAAGATGGATTGGCCAAGTGGCAGCATCGATGGACTCAAGCGTGGCAACAGTAGTGAGGCTGGCCCAGGATCAAGCAGTGTTTTGCTCTGCTGTGCATGATGTTGCTATGGGTTGGTACCGACCCGATGGTACCTAACAACACTTAACAACATGGGTCGGAATCAAGTCAACAACATTTAACAAACAAAATGTTATGGATATTTTACCATAATACAATAAGATAAAACAGAAGACAGACACAGCGTCACCTGTTACCAGCCCGGTTCTACCTCACATTCCTAGGTAGAGCTGGTGGGTGCTGGTGGATCTAATTCGTAAGCTGGGTCACAAGTGTATCGCGCACACACACACAGACACTATGTACACTCTGTCTGCACATGTCATCACTACACAGGGAAGTCTCCTTAGCATAATGGAGGGTTTGTGTTGGTTTATCCACATATAAAGCCACCGCAGCAGGCATGGGCCAGCCCTGACCATGTCGCCGGGGAATGAATCTACACTGGACCCAGGTGTCTGGTGAGTGTAGTCAGCACCTGTCACTCCCAACAAGAACCAGCTCACCCCCATAGGCATCTGTGCCTTCGACTCTCACCTCTGTCACTTTGGGCTGAAGTATCAGAGCCTCGGGGCTCATCCGAGGGATGTCGATGTGGATCTGGAGAAGCAAGAGAAGAGAAACTTGCTTTAAAACACAAACCACACTGTACAAGCACTGGGGTTAACATGGCAGCAGGCAGAGATGCGGCCTTCCCATGTTAGCTCTCGAAAGACATGCGACCTCTCTCTTTTCTTCTCTTCCCTCTGGAGGAGGCATCCCATGGCCTGTTCTACCGCATGGGGGTCGCCGGATCACTGGTCACATCCCCAGACACAGGGCACTAGGACTGCTCTATCACTCAGGGCTGACCCGGTCTGGGATGGAGGCTCGCTGCCCACATTGCAGACAGCAAGCTGCATGGTAACCTCTAAGTTGCCCTCAGCTATTTAGCAACATGGTCACCGGCAATTAGAGTGACCATTGATTTTCAGCCCTGACACGGGGCACGATGCAAGCACATCAACAGCATCCACGTTCTCTGCCGACACAGTTTCTGCACTTGGCAAAGCCCTTGAGGAATCTAGGACATGTTTTAAAGGAAGTGTCTGGAAGTCTCTGGTATTGTCTGGCTTGACCCTATGTGACACAAGTGACACAATCAAGGTTTCAACCCTGCAGATGACACACTGTGGGCTCAGGAACAAGCATGTGGGCACACTGGACACACTATTACAAAGGCTCTCACCGTCCCATGTGGACCTGGAGGACCGAGAAGTGAGGAAGCAGACAGAGCGTCAGTGTGAACCTGGGGGACAGGAAACAAGACAACGGATGCCGTGTCCCCACTGAAGAGACCACGGTGTGATCTGTCCCCAATTGTGGGGATGGCTCAGGACAGGGCAACGTCTCAGTCATTGTGCACGGGGGCCAGCTCGACAGCTGCTGATACCACCGACAGTTCCCAAATCCACTTCCAATGCAATCTGCACCTCAAATCAGTGTCGCCGAGGAGCTGAGTGTCAGCCCAGTGTGACCTGGAGCCAGAACAAGACAGCAGGCCACACTCCATGGTGCATACCAAGGGCCACAAGAAGAGGGCCCTGACCAGAGCAGCAGTTCCTGCCCAGCCTTCTGACTTGCCTATCTCTGCCACCCGCAGCAAGTCCACTGGCTCTCCGAGTCTCAAGTTCATGCTGATGACGAGGAAGAACTAGGAAAAAGGGCCTGGCAATTGACGTTAGAAAATCAGCTAGTAAAGGTTCTGTGAGCTACAACAATCCAGCCACTATACACAGGGTCCCCCGGAGTGAGGGACCTATTCAACAGACGGCGCTAACGACACCAAGACAAAGAGGCCTTCCGAAACTGCATCTGACTCCAACAAGGTTCTGTTGGACATCAGGGGAAGGCCTGTCTCTGGACCTAGTCCCAGGCCTAGCCCAAAGTGACAAATGATGTGGACATCCGAGCCTGAGGTAGAACTGACAGAATGTGGACATCATCCCTGAGGTGGAGAAGTCCACCGTCCCTTCTTCTAGAGGTCAAGTTATCGAGGGGGAAAAATTCTGTCCTGACATATCTCAGCACAATCTGAGGTCGAGCTAGGAAACAGCAGGCTGTGACACCCCCGGGCCTGCCTTGTGTCACTGCACCGCATGCCCAGGGCAATGGTCACATCTGACAAAGCACGGGAGAATGGCAAAGGTCTCACAGACCTATGCTGAACTGCAAGTCCACCTGGAGTCCTTACCTCGAGCACACAGGGGACTATAATGACTCTCATCTTGTATAAAGCTAAGTAGCCCAATGATAACTGGACCATGTCCCTTACTGCACTGTGGGGACTCACTGTCTGGGTCTGACCCCGGACCTTCGGAGCATCCTGTTGTCCTCATACACCTTCCACTCACCCATGGCCCAATGAGTCACAGATCCCACCAGCTCCCCGGGCAGATCTGGCCATGCTATGGAGTCTCACGCCTCCGTTGGGTGACTCCAATTTTTTAAACCACCATTTGGGTTTTGTACAAGGACCTGGAGACCGGCAAGGCACTCAGATGAGAGGAAGTTCACCTCTGAGATGTTTGCAAACGTATTCACTATGGAAGAACTAGCGTCTGTGTACCAGCCTGGGCCATGCTGATGAGCTTCTTCTCCCGTTCAGCGTCTCCTGCTTACGTATCAAGAGCCAATAAGGAAGGAGCAAGGAGGCCCACCTGCCGGTACGTGTCTTGGTGAACTTCATCATTCCTGGAATCGTAATACTGCTCAATGAAAGCAAAGTATTCTTTCTGTTTTCTCTGGAGAGTGGCTGCTCTTCGGTCTACGTTGGCAGGAAGGTAGCCCTGGGAGAGAAAGAAAAAGAATGCACCCCATTATGGCCAATTCATGGAGCCTCTGTTGAAAGTGTGAAACCCAAACCTTTTTTCACAAGCTTTGTGTTGTGAAGTTTCATATGGAGATGAGAGAGCAGTGAAAAGGGGGCAGACATAAACACAGCAAATATCTCTCCAAGACCACTAAGCAAGGTCAAGGCCTTGGGCATTTGCAGCTTCCAGAAATCGGTCCACTTCACTCGCGGCCATAGGAGAGCCAGACTGGAATCTGTGTGTCAGGTGTGTATTCAGTGGTCTCCTCAAGCATACTTATAAGTGAAACAAACTCCTTCTCCAAATATCTCAGACATCACTGTACGAAAGAATCCAGATGCCTATACTGTCTTACAACAACAAAAAAACTACACACACACAAAGGGGGCTTCAAAACGATTGCGAAAAAAATTCCATTTTTACACGAACTATTTAAAGCCCCATTGTGTACCCCACTGTGGTGAAGCTGTTAGGATTCAGTTAACTCTGACATCACACGACAGAGCACAAACTCCCCCTTAGGGACAGCCACGCTGTCATCTCTACGGAAACAGACTGTCATATTGTTCTCCTATGGATCAGCTGGTGGGTTTGAACCACCAACCTTTCAGTTGGCAGCAGAATACTTAAACCACTGCACCACCAGGGCTCACTCATTGTCTGCATACAAGAGTGAGTCAAAACGTACTGCTACTTGGATTCTTTTTCATAAGTTCACTGGTTTACCCCAAACAAGCCATGTTTCAACATGGCTCTGCAATTAGTGACAGCTGCAGACAAGCTCTCTGAGTAAGACACTTGCCTTTGTCACCTTTTAGGTGACTTCAAAAGAAAACGTCCAGTCAAAGAAAAAGTAGCCAAAGCAGTGGCTTCAGAGGGCATCTGCTGGACACTTCCATTCAATGCACAGAGATGAGCTCAGATGGCTATGGTAACATTTGGGTCAGGGTGGGGTGGAATACTGAGATTTTCTCAAAGGACACAGAACCATCACAGGGACATACTACAAAGAAGTTTCCAGAACTCTGAAACCTGCATCAGTGAGAACAAGGCCGGATAAGTTGCACTGAGGAATTTTTTTCCCATCAAGTGAACGGAACTGCTCATTCTTCAAAGGGACCAAAGGCGATCCTGAAGGAATTTCATAGGAAAACCCAACCCCATCCATACTACAGTGCCAAATGTTGCCCCTTCAGAGTCTTTTGTCCTCAAACTCAAAGGACATCACAAGGAGTATGATTTGGGTCCCTTGAGGATGTCAAAATTGCCCTCTGCATACAGTATAACTAGAAGTGCACAGGAATCTTCAGGAAGGTGGAGAAGATGGAAACACCCCTTCAGACGTGCACAGACCTCGATGGAGGCTATGGGGAGAAACCATAGCTTCACAGTTTTTTGTGAATTGAGTGAAGGTTTATAGCAGATCGTGTTTTCCATCCAACAAACCCTACACTTTGTTTCACTACATGGCTGCAATCCCCCATGTGCCATCAGATAACAGCATTTACCTCTGTTCACTTTAACTATCTATGTTGTGAAGTGTTTCACAGAATCTACAGTTTACAGTATTCCACTGTGGATATACCAACGTTTCATTAACCATTCTTTTTTTGATGGGCATTAAGGCTATCTCCATCTTTTTCATATGTCTCTGTAGACAAGCTAATGTTGTCGTTGTTAGGTGCCATCGACTTGACACCAACTCATAGCGACCTTATGCACAACAGAACGAAACACTGCCCGATCCTGGGCCAACCTCACAATTGTTGCCATGCTTGAGTCCATTGATGCTGCCACTTGGCCAATCCATCTCACTGGGGGTCTTCCTCTTTTTCTCTGACCCTCCACCTTACCAAACATGATATTCTTCTCCAGTGACTGGTCATTACAAATTCCTTTAATTTCTGTTTATCAGAAAATGTCCTAAATTTGCCGTCATATTTGAGAGACAGCTCTACTGATTATACGATTTTTGGTTGGCAATTTTTTCTTTCAAAGTTTCGTATCTGTGACTTTATTGCCTTCTTGTTTACATGGTTTCTGCTCAGTCTACTGATTCTCCTTTGAAGGTAAACTTTTTGGTTTTCCTGAGCTGCTCTCAGGATTCTTGCCTTATCTTTGATTTTGGCAACTTTGATTATAATGTTGGAATTATAATCAAATTTTCTTTTGGAATCTATTCTGTTTGGTGTTCATTCCTTTTCTTGTATGCTTATCTTCTCATCTTCCATGATGTTAGAGGCATTTTCTTCCAACAACTCTTTGACAGTTTTCTCTGTGCTTGTCTCTGTTCTGGAATTCCGATCACCCATAAGTTGTTCATCTTGGTGTCCTACATAACTCTTAGGCTTTCTTGGGAAATTTTCATTCATTTTCTGATTGTTCTTCTAGTATGTCTGTATTGAGAGATTTCTCTTCAAGCTCACTAATTGAGGTTTCCATTGCTTCGCATCTTCTCCTTTGTTCTTTTAATGGATTGTCCATTTCTGAGATCTCAGTATTAATCTTCTGGATTTCTAATAGCAGGTTTTGTATTGTTTCAAAGTCTGCACTTGTTTTGACCTTTTTTCTTTTCTTTTTTTGTCAGTATTTTCCTGAATTCTTCTACAGTTTTTGTTGCTTTCCTCAATCTTGCTATGGATCCTCTGAAGGTCCCTAATTATCATTCTTCTGAATTCTTTTTCAGGTAGTTCCATTACCTTTTCTCCCTCAGTATCATTTTCCAGCTCGTCATCTTGGCTATTTGAGTCATTCTCTCTTGCTTCTTCATGTGAGCTAAAATTGTCTGTTATCTCTAGGGTATTGTGAAGTTGGTGCATTTGTGAAAACAAGTAGTACGGTTGTTGGACCCAAAGGGGAGAAATTTCAGTTGGGTGCCTGCAATTCCAGGAGCTTACGAGTGCTTGTAGAAGGGATGTGAGAGCAGAGCTCCAGGCTCTAGATGGAGCGACATATGCTCAGTGCACTCAATCGGGAAGTAGTTCACGGGGGCCTTGATGGAGCTAAGTTCAGTGTCTGTTAAAGTGGCTGGTGTAATCTGGTCTGGTGGCTCGGTGGGTTCTGTAGGTCTAGAGCCGAGCTCACAAGAATCCAGGCACCAAAGCGGTGCAGCCTCATGCTGGCGCAGCTTCCAGCTCATGCTGGTGTGGCGTAGCTCCAAACTCCCACAGAGCAGGGTCTGTGCTGGGCTGCGGGTGGATGAGATGAGAGATGGCTACACTTCTGGACACCAGGGAAGCATGGGGAAAAAGAAGAAATCGCACCTTTTCCAGTGCCCACTTGAATCTGCTTGGTCAGGCCTCCCTCCACTGCTCACACGATGGCCGAGCTGCCTCTGGCCCACCGTTCACCTGTCAGTCTCCCTCTCGCCCCACCCCCCCGTTTGCCCTCTCCTCCAGCAAGCATTCCATCACCTCTCTGACCTTTCTTCTGAAGGTCAGGGTGCGTTTCTCTTCTGTGTGTTTCATTTCGTGTCCTGAATCTTTGTTGTAGAGGGTTCATGTAATGCGTCTGCCTCATCTGTCATCTTGCTGGAAGTCTACATTGTGATTATGTTTAATAAAGGTGCCCTAGTGGCACCGTGGGAGGAGCACTCAGCTGCTAACCACAAGATCAGCAGTTCAAAACCACCGGCTGCCACTGAAGGAGAAAGATGATGCCGTCTGCTCCCACAAAGATTTAGGCATGAAAACTCTTCACAGGGTTCTCTGAGTCGTGATCGACTTAATGGTAGTGGATTTGGTTTTAGGGTTTTTTCTGGCTTTGCAGCAGTACTTTACAGCTTACCCTCATATAAGGGCTTAGTGTCCTGCCTGGCATACACAGCAGACAAGAGCACACTCACTGCTTATTTATCAACATGGCTAGCTTACAGAGTCCAGATTTATATGTGAATACTGGCATCGTGTGAAAAAGGAGGATGAGCACATGAGATTACTAAATGATTCGCTACATCATTACACAGCCGTAAGCACCACGGCCAGCGGTCCTCGTCACTGCCGGCTGAATACGTCAGATGGGCAATCACTGGGCAGTAGACTTTCCACGACAGTCGTGAATGTGAAACGCCGGATTGGAGGGAGCAGGTGTACTTGCTGATGGGTGACGTCATTATGACATATGATGGCCCTGTCACACCCACAGCGGCCCATGGCCCTGACACGCTGTCTGAGGGAGAAGTGGCCTGGGCTAACTTGCCTTCTTGTTCTTGTTTGGTGGCACTCCACTGCTGGAGCAGGCGAGAACACATGCCAGGGAAGGCTGGGACACAGATCCAGGCTGGTACTGGGGATTCCAAGACAACGCTGGGCAGATAATGAACAGAGATGTCTGATCTGTGCAGGAGGCTGTGAGGGGGCCCCAGATGTAAACTGGGCAGGACGGGGGTGCGCAGGCAGATTTACACGAATTACCTTAAAGACTTCTTTGTGAACAAGAGCAAATACTTTTAGAAATTCATCTTATTGCCCAAGTTTTACCTTAACTTACTGAAACACAAACTCCATGAGGCAAGTATGGTAAAACCAGAACCGAAGCAATTAAAACACCCCACACCCTCCCACACACATTTGTTCCCTAAGGAAAACACACATATGCAAGCTGAGGCCTTCTGATAATTCAGCAAGACTAGAAAATATGCAAATGAAATATATTCAAATATGCAGTGAATTTTAAATGCCAGAACTACAGAACACTTAATTGCTGTATTAGCATGCTATAAAAACACTAATCATAAATGTAAAACAATACGTGCATATACTTATCCTAGATGGTCCTGCTGACACCCAATCAAGTGGGCTCCGCCCACTGTGTTCAGATGAAACCTCCCACAACACACTGAGAGAAGGAAGCAGTAGACTAGCATTCTGCTTACCACCGAACCCTTCTGCTCACTGGCATCAACAGTAAATGTTCAGTTTCGTTTTGTTTACTGTTGCTAAGAAACTTATTTTTTAAATGAGCCAAAAATAGAATTTTCTATAGCTGTAATATTTTAAACTTGCTACATTTCCCGCATGAACCAAAAATGTCCACTCGCATCGTTGTCGTCTGACGTGCTCACCGTGCCCCGTGTGCAACAGGACACTACACTGCCCTGTCCTCACAGCTGCTCTGTCCGAGTCACCGCTGCAGCTGCTATGCCAGCCCGTCTCGCTGGGGGTCTTCCTCTTTTTCACTGACCCTTTGCTTAACTAAGCATGGTGTCCTTCCTCCAGAGACCAGTCCATTCTGACAATATGTCCAAAGTACATAAAGTGAAACCTCCCCACCCTCACTCCTAAGGAAAATTCTGGCTGTACTTCTTTCAAGTTAGATTGGTTCTTTCCCTGGCCGTCCGTGATAATCTCGGTACTCTCCACCAACACCACAGTTCCCAGGCATCCATGCTGCTTGGGTCTTCCTGACTGTCTTTCATAAGCATACAAGGCAACTGAAAAGATGGTGACTTGGGTCAGGTGCACATTGGATTATTAACACTGTAGAGAGAGGTCTTCTGCTGCACAAATGCCCAATGCAATATGTTGTTTGATTTCTTGACTGCTGCTTCCATGGGCATTAATTACAGAACCAAGTAAAAAGAAATCCTTCACAATGTCAATCTATTCTCAAATTATCATGACACTGTTTATGGGTAAAACTGTAAGGATTTTTGGTTTTTTCAAGTTGTGGTGTAATCCATACTGAAGACTGCAGTCTTTAATCTTCATTAGTAAGATCAAACTGGCTTTCAGCAGGTATGGTTGTGCCATGTGCACACAACAGATGATTAAAGATGGCAGAGCATGACCAACTGACTGACAGACAGAGGTGGGACCGTTCTAGACTAGACCACCAGTTAGCGCTTCACAATGGCAGACGCGGAAGGGAACGTTCTAGACTAGAGCACTACTTAGTATTTCATAATGAAAGATGGGGGAAGTGAACGTTCTAGACTAGGGCACCAGTTAGTGCTTCATAATGACAGGCGCATGATGGAAATGTTCTAGACTAGAGCACATGCTAGTTCTTCACAATGACAGGCAGATGGTGGTCATGTTCTAGACTAGAGCACATGCTAGTTCTTCACAATGACAGGCAGGTGGTGGTCATGTTCTAGACTAGAGCATTGTGGTTGCTGGGTCCCATCGAGTTGATACCAACTCAACGTGACCCTGTGCACAACAGAACGAAACACTGCCCGATCCTGGGTTGTCAGCCTCACAGGCTGCAGCTGCGTTGCTCCTATTAAATCCACTGCTGCTGCCACTGTGCCAATCCATCTCATTGGGGGTCTTCCTCTTCTTTTCCAACCCTCCATTTCACCAAATATGATATCTTTCTCCAGTGACTGGTCCCTCCTGATAATATGTCCGAAGTATGTGAGACAAAATCTGGCTTTCCTAGCTTCCAGGGAGCACACTGGCTGTACTTCTTCCAACACAGATGTTTGTTCTCTGGGCAGTCCATGGTACCTTCAATACTCTCCTAAAACACCATAGATCAAATACATCAATTCTTCCTTCTTCACTGCCCAACTTGCGCATGCATATGAGGTTAATGAAAATACCATGGCTTGGGTCAAGCACACCTTAGTCTTCAAACTGACATCTTTTCTCTTGAACACTATAAAGAGGTCTTATGCAGCAGATGTGCCCTATGCAATACGTTGCTTGATTTCTTGACTGTTGCTGCCATAAGTGTTGATAGATGAGTCGAGTAAAACAAAGTGTTTGACAATTTCAATCTTTTCTCCATTTATAAGGATGTTGTTTATTGTTCCAGTGGTGATGAGTTTTGTTTCTTTACATTGAGGTGCAATCCATACCAATGACTGTGCTCTTTGATTTTCATCAATAAGTATTGTAAGTCCTCTTTGCATTCAGCAAGCAAAGTTGTATCATCTGCATATCACAGGTTAATGAGTCTTCCTTCAATCCTGATGCCATATTTTTCTTCATATAATAGAGCTTCTTGGAGTATGTGCTCAGCATACAGACTGAATAAGTATGGTGAAAGAATTCAACCCTGGCACATACCTTTCCTAATTTTAAACCACGTTCCTTTGTTCTATTCGAACTGCCTTTTGGTCTATGTACAGGTTCCTCATGAGCACAATGAAATGGTTTGGAACACTCATTCTCTGAAATTTTGTCCATAGCTTGTCACGATCCACACAATCGAAAGTCTTTTTATAGTCAATAAAGCACAAGTAAAAATATTTCAGGTATTTTCTGCTTTCAATCACGCTCTATCTGACATTAGCAATTATATCCCTTGTTCCATGTCCTTGACTGAATCCATCTGAATCTCTAGAAGTTCTCTGTCAATGTTTGGTTGCAGTCATTTTTAAATTGTCTTTAGCAATATTTTACTTGTATGGGATATTAATGATATTGTTGAATGATTTCCACATTCCATTGAGTCACCTCTCTTCGGAATGGGCACAAATATGAATCTCTTCCCATCAGTTGGCCAGACAGTTGTCTTCCAAATTCCTTAACATAAATGAGTGAGTGCCTCCAGTGCTGAATCAGTTTGTAGAAAGATTTCAATTTGTATTCCATCAATACCCAGAACCTTGTTCTTTGCCAATGACTTCAGTCCACTGTTAGTGCTTCATAATGACAGATGAGTGGTGGTAATGTTCTAGACTACTGCATATGTTAGTTATACATAATGACTGACTGATGGTGGTGGAAATGTTCTAGACTAGGGCATGTACTAGTTCTTCATAATGGCAAAGGCCACGTTTCTCATCTTTCATTAAAGTGGCATTCCTACTCCTAGATGAACAAGTGTGTTCTATGACGTGCTACTGGGAGAAGGATGAGCACCTACCACCAGCACCCTGGGAAGAAAGTAGTTTCCAGACCTGGAGACAGACTCCTATCAAAGCACTGCTTTATCTATTTGTCTTTTTATACCACACAATGTTCAGTTCTTCTCAGAGTCACAACCCAACTCTTAACATTCAGAGCGTTGAAAGGAGGAAGAAGACCAGAGCAGGCTGGACATCACTACTGCCTCCTTTCCTGTCCTTAACTCCAGGGCACCGTGATGCGGGCAGTGACGACAGGCATGTCCACTCCCTTTCTGTGGCTCCGAAAGGGTGGGGCCTGTGTGTCTCCTCTCCCTGCTACAACCGCCCTGTCCTGCTTACAGGCCCTGCCCTCCTACACAAGTGCTCACCACAACCAGAAAAATGGAGCGTGGCGGGGTGCGGCTCCTGGGGTCCCTGCCAATAAGTCCCAAGTCAGCACACAGCACCTTCTAGGTGTCTGCACCCCAGTTGGAAAGAACGGGAGCTCCACAGAGTAATTAACATGAGGCTTTCTGCCCAGAAACCAGGCACTGTTAATAAATATAAAATTGCCATCAAGGGCCTTACAGGTTTTTTAATCAAAACCTCTTGACAATTTAATCTGAAAAGCGCATGAGCTATCTAGGACAAGTGCATCTTGATGGCAAAAGTAAACACACGCAAAGGAAACATAAGCAGTTGTAGCAGGTCTTGTTTCATGGCAAGGGAATATGCAATCGATAAATACCCGCCGCTCAGAGCTGCGTCTGCATTCAGCTCTACTAGACGCACCGTGCTGACAACTGATTACGACTCGTTAGTAAGAAAGAGTCTTTCTAATAGGGAGAGTCAGACTCAAACTAGGGTAACCACTCACGGTTCTCTGTGACTTAACTCCCAAATTCAAAAAGGCATAAAGAGGAAAGCTGTCTGTATGCTATTCTGATGCTTCTGCAAGGCCATGGTGCCACCATGCCTTGTCAGGTTCCAGCAGGGTTAAATGTAGAAAAAGATAGGCTGGTGACCACCACCCAGACAAACTTCCAATCTGAAAGCCCAACTTCCATGCTCCCTCACAGATGCACAAATCGCTTCTAACCTCAGCGGCATTTCCTAACATAGTCACTGCTTCTAACAGTAAAGAGGAAACCAATGCTGAAACCCACCTGGTCATTCATATTTCTACCACTGAACCCTCAAGGTTGAGACAGTCTTCAAAGCTGGACACTTTCTGTATCACAGGTTCAAAAATACTACAAAGATTTTAAAATATAAAAATAAATTCCGAGAAAGAATAGAGGCATCATAAATTATACCTTCTTCTCATTTTTCTGCCAGCCTTGTCAAACCAAGCTTGAAATTAAGCAAAGAACAGAAAATGTCACCTCAGCCAAGTCAAGGCCTTTATCGCTGTTGTCACAAAGACAGTGTCCACATTGGGCTGTGGGTGATGGGCCATCCTTCCAGCTGAGGATAGCTTGTCCCACCCCAAGGGATGGGGGGGAGGGGGAGGGGTTTGCAGGGCTCAGGAGACTCACCGAGAGCAACTTCCAGGTCATTGGACGGACAGCCTTAGGGATTCCTGACCAGCTCAGTTTCCGCAATTCCTCTGTGGAGATAAAAAGGGACAAGGATGGGAGAATAACTGGGCATGTTCAAAAGGGCTAAAAGGGACAGAGATAAAGGACGATACATGCACAGCCTCGGAACGGCAGGGCTCTGAGACACAGGGATTGAGTCATGGTTAGAATGGGGGGAGGAATCATGTTAAGATGCTTGACTGTTTTTTTGTTTTTTTGTTTGTTTTAATCTTGATTTCCCTTGCATTATAATATAGAGTAGACACTGGAGAGGGAGAGAAAGGAATAGTCAGAAACATCACACTAGAAGGCTTGTAAGTCCGTCTTCTGCCTATGACTGACTGGAATACCTAAA